CAAAATAATAATTTAAGAATTCTTAGATGTTCAGTAAAAAAATATGGTTTGACTTCATCTCCTAAAAAGCATCTCACTAAGGCATCACCCAGCCAGCTGTGGGAGACTGAAGGATATTCTTTTAATTGGTTAAACCTCTCTAAGTGCTTTATAATTGCTTTCACTAAGCAGCTTTTGTAACGGAGGAAATGCTACCTGTAACTGATTACGTTTTAATAGGCTTAGCCAATGTCCACCCAGGGATGTGCAAAGCCTCCCCTTGATGTCCATCAGTTTGTCTCCACATTGTTCTCAGAGCTCTGCTGTGCCATTCAATAACTCCTTCCTTCCATCCACGGCACAAACGGATCTGACAAGCAGTCGGGGAGGTGTTGAGGGCTCCTCGGAGGAGAATGGGCTGCAGGCTGGTGTATTGATGGGGATGATTAGTCCATGTCACAAAACTGTCCCCTTTCGAGAAGATATTTTGGCCAAACAGTGATTTCAGCCTGAGCCAATCTCAAATACGCCCTGATTTTTGAGCGGCTGTTTGGAAATGTGAGACTGAGATGGGGAAGATTTATATTGCCTCTCTGCATCTGGGTACAGTATGCAATGGTCTGGGAGGTGTACATGAGGTTTCACCTGCCGAAGGCTGCTTATTCTGAAGGGTGCATGTGTGCATGTATGTGTTTAAGATTTATTTAGGATGTTATCAAATGATTGGCATGTCAGGCTATGCAATCAGAGAAGCTTCACCCTTCCGTGAAGCATCACACAGCACCCAAGAGACTCAGCTTCCCGGCACTACAATATAGCCAAGGAATCATAACAAAAAATCGAGGTGGTTTATAACTGGAGAAATGGAAGGAACATTGGATGGATGAAGGAGGGTATGAAATCTCCTGATGGGAGGTGTTTTTAGCGGCAGCACTGGTGCAGACGTTGCCCTGTTATCCTTACAAAAGAGCTGGGAAGCTGCCAGCGCCTCAAGCTCTCTGAATTTGGATCCTCACACCTGGTGAACACTGACAGGAGAGAGGGAATTCCAATCAGTAATCACAGGCTTAATGAATTAACGAGGTGGTTCCCAGGCAGCAGGGCTGACACACTCCTTGATCCTATCTCCCTAATTATTTTGTACATGACCAAAGTCAGATGGAGCCAAGAAAATACATATATGCTACCAAAAAAGAGGAAAATTATGTGGATGTTTTGAATGAAGCTCTTAGCCTGACCGCTTTTAGCTCCTATTTCAATGTAAATAAATACATAATCTCAGTAGATCTGGTGGAAGGAAGAAAGGTAGTTGCTGCACTGATCTCCTCCAGCAGCTCTGCACTCCATGAACTGCAAAAATGTCTTTTCTGAGCATTAGTTTTACAAGTTCTGAAACATTTCACCCTTAAACCGAAATCAAGTTCTCTGTATTTCATGCCAAAGTTCACTTTTGGAAATAGAAAATGCTTTGACCCCCATGAAGCTCTGACTTTGTGCCAGCAGTTTTTTTAGCGTGTACAAGTGTAATTTTTCTTCTCCCATCCTCTTCCATAAACTAGCCTAGACAGTGTACATGCTTTTGGCTGCCATGGATCCCAGGATAAATCATGTGCATCTCTGTGTATTTTTTGCTACTTTTCAGATAGCTCAGAGGCCTGGTGCATTTGAAAAAAAAAATTGCGAGGAACAGGTGACAAAAGTAAATGTGAATCAAGCACCTCCAGTAATCAAGTGCATCTGAAAAATGAAATGAAGCAGGATTTCACTCGCACTTGCTAGACGCAAAAAGCCTTTCTGCATGATGCGGTGAATCACAGACAAAACAGAAGGTGGATTTCTTATTTGCTGGATCTTCCACAGTCCAGAAATGGAGCAAGCTCTCTCATTGCCTTCCCAGCAGGGAAGGGAGCTCAGTCCTGCTGCCGGGCTGGCACTGCAGAGATGCACGTAGTATCGGTGCATCGCTGCCGTGGGGCCCCACCGTCCCACGTCTGACCCACTTTTGCACCATTTCTGGCTCCAGACTGAAGCCCTCGCTTTTGCTAACTTTTCTCAGCTTTTGCAGTACATAACAAAAGCCAAAATTTGCCTGGAGAAGAAAAAGAAGAAAATGAAGCTTATTGTTCAGAGAAAGAAGGGCTGTTTTTCAGTGCCTTGGAGGAAACGTGGACTTTTTGGTGAGCGGTGGTCTTCCATCACCACCGAGCAATGCCCAGGGAACAGCAGGTGTAAATTTAGGTCTCTCTCTTATTATTCATGAAGAGCTCTCCCTTCTTAATGTTAAAAGAGTATACAATACTAAAAGGAGAGAGGGAGGTGTGAGATACTGTAGCGCAAGTGAGAAAAGGCAGCTTCTCACTTAATGGCACTAGGCAGAAGCGTTAAGAAACAGGAAAGGATAGTGGGGAACCGAGGGACTTGCCCGGCCCCGTCCTTGAGGCTCAGTGCCGAAGCAAGGCTCACTCCTTATCCCCCTGCGGATGATGGTTAGGCGGGGTACAGTGGCAGTAAACAACCACAGCCCAAGAAGATAATTACAGGCAATGTAACATCTTCTGGGTTTTTCTCTCCTTTTTCTCACTAGGCATTTCCCAGCGTGGTGTTCGAAGCTGGGGTGCACATGGTGGCTTGCCTATGGCATGGGCGTAGTGTGCTGCGTGGGGCACATCCCTCATGGAAAAGAGCTAGAAAAATCTCATGGAAGTTCTTGGTGCCTTCTCTAGGGATTTCTTTCTTTGTTGAAAATGTGGCCTTGGCCAAAGCACTTGGGCTACCAAGAGCTTTGCCATGAAAACCACCAGTCAGAAAGCTTTCTGCTAACAAACTCTCACCATCTAATGTGCATGAGGACTCTCACGGTTTAAAATCAGTACCAGCATACTTTGTCAGATTTTTTTTGAGTACTATTTTTGAACGGCTTTTCCTTTATCATCTGTCAGTTTAAGCTACCAGATTCTGTGGTTTTTTCCTCAGCTTATTTAATTAAGCCATCCAGTATTTTGCAGTACAGCTCAATTCCTGGGTGCAGGATCTTTTATTTAACCAAAGCTCTGCAGAAAAAGAAAAGGAATAAAGCGATATATGCAAGGCTTAAGTGGCTGTTGACTAAATCATTAAAATGCTGGGCTAGTTTTGCTTTTTCAGAGTGTCTCTGTGTGTGAGCAGGTCTGTTCTTTAGCTTTACATAACAACAAGCAAAGGCAAAAGAAAAGGATTATTTGTGATTACCCTAAATGTGGCTGTTTGGAAGAAGAAAAAGAAATTGCATCTTTTCCTGTGTGCATCCATGGAGATCACAGTTCTGTCTAGTTTCTCCATGAAGTTACGAATACCTGCCTGAGCAGTTCATAAGTGGCCACTTGTGCTCCCAGCTACCAACGTCATTTGAGACATTGCATGTGCAAACGTGAACCCTTTATTGCATGTGAAATCTAGATGAAGGTATTTTCCAGAAGAGGATTTGGGAATTTATTTAGCCAGTCCTCAAAGGGCTGCAAAATTCAGTTTAAAATCATATAAGAAGCAGCTTCTTTTTTTTTTTTTTTTTTTTTTTTTTTTAAATTTTCTGCTGCATACTAATTTGGCTTGGAGCAAAAAATGTCTTTTTTTGGATATTGTGATTAGCTGGGTCAGAGTCTGCAAAACATTGGGTGCAGTATCTAGTGGGAGAAAGTAAAGTGCAACTCACAGCAGGGTGCACACACGTCCCTTGGCAGCTCTGCTGAGTTTATAGAGAGATATTTGGCTGCCAGGAAAGGCAATAAATCAGAGTCACCTTAGCCCAGAGCTGAACACTTGACTAGGGGAGACGTCATGTGCAAGACAGGAACAGGGGAACTCTCTCACTGTGTACAACACAGCCATCGCCCCTGCCACTCTCTCGCTTCGGGTTTTCAGGTGTGCAGTGGGGTTATTGGGGTTATTGCTGGGATATTATGAAACATCATGAGGAATGTTTTGCTATCAAATCAGTTTTGTTATTATCAGAGTTTTGACGAGGAGAAACACTAGGAAGAGTCTGAATTAATACAAATTATTTTTTTTTAAATCTGAGTAATTTGGCCTTTTTCTTTCTAAGAGAGAGGAAATTTGAAATCTGAATTAAAGCTGTGATTGATTGTGAGAAGCTCTTTTCTCCTATGTGTGTATCTTCAGGGGAAAACCAATTTTCCACACACCTCTAATGAAGCAGAGAACACCTTCAGAGCAGCTCCTCCTTTGACCTTGGGAGCAGGGAAAGGAAACCACCAACACCGGGTTTCCAAAGTCTCTGCTTGTGACAGATGGGAGGAGTTTGCACATCTGATTTACCATGGGCAATGCCAGTGGGGCTGCGTAGCCTGTGCTATGTGTCCGCTCTCGCTCCTCTCTTCAAACCCGATCCCACGAAATCAGTTTGGTCTTAAAACTGCATCAGTCCCTCGGTCACACTCAAAGCCTAAAACCAGCACCAGCTGAGAGAGGTGTTCAGGCTGGAGCTGGCCAGAAATGGAAAAAGAAACAGGAAAACTTGATATTATCAAGTTGTTTCTGTTTCACAGAACATGGAATATATTGAAATTTGAATTTTTTTTTCTCAACTTCTCCCCCATTGAGCACAATTAATTAAATAATAGTTAAATCCCTCTCTAGTTTCCCTTCTTTATATGATTTTTTTTAATCCTTTAAGGAAAGGTTAGGGCTCAGAAAAGTGAGTTTGGAAGAAAAAGGAAATAGTGGATAATAGAGGATAAAATTTCCTAGAAAACTCTTGGTAACTCAGCAAGAAATAGATGAAGAAGGAAAGAGATCAAGAGAAGAAACAAATTTATTTTCCAAAGTTTAGGGCTTTGAGACAAGAATGGGACAATTTTGGCAAATGTTAAAGTGTTTGAGGGCAATTTGGATTTCCAAAACCAGCCAATTTTCATTTAAAATATACTTTGGGTGAAAGCATTCACCAATTTCAACCTATTACTCTTCAAATCATATTTACTTGGACATCTCTAGCCAGTTCCATGCCAAAATACGTGAATACTTACGTAGGACCCTCACGCCATGCTTCAAGGCTTGCACGCGGCTGGGCTCCATGGACATGCTGAGCATCGTCTGCTGCCCGCCGATGGTGCAGACCTGGTTTTCCTGGGCAGCCTGCTTGAACATGACCATGAGCTGGTTGGCGATGATGGTGTTGAGCACAGAAATGATGACCATGGGGAACACGAAGGAGATGAAAGTGTTGACCTGCAGAGGAGAGATGTGGCACAGTAAAGGGATGAGAAGGATCAGTGGAGCAGGAGATTGTGTTTTCTTTCTCAAAGCAGCAGAGAAACAGCCTGCAGTGGAAATCTTTTCTCTCCTGTTACTCTGCTGGCTGTGGCTTTTGAAGGCTTATTGCACAGAGGGAAAACTCAAACACCACTGACATACGTTCATTCATGTGGGTCAACACTCAAAAAAGGCAAATTTATTTGCATCCAAGTATGTTGTCTTCCCCTTTTCAGTGCAGTTCATTGCCAGAAATGTCTTGACCAAAACATGCCATTGATCTTTTAAACTTGTGAACAGCAAGATGCTTCTTAGCTTTCATTGTGCGTAGCGTGACTTCTAAATAACAATATGTTACTGTATTCTTTCTTTATTATGAGCGCTCCTTGGGATCTTTTTAACTTTCTTCTTTGTCTTCTGTCCTTTCCGTGTAGATTTCATGACAGCATTTTGTTATCTCATAACCAAATTATCCAATAAACCTCATGCCTTAAAGGATTAAAATTGATTGGAATAAACAAGTGGAAGTTGTAATGTTTTTAGTACATATTATTTGATTACTACAGTTTTGATAAAATTAAGTGGAGGATCAAATTAAGCAGTGATTGAATCAAGTGGAAGTCACTGCTCGTGTCAAATAAATGCAGGAAGGCTTTGTGAGGGTCTTATGGGCTGTCTAGAAACCCCGCTGGAGCTGAGCTTAACAAACGGCAGCCCAGGGAAATAGAGGCACGTGTAGGATTTGCCTGCATGACTGCGGCAAGGCTGCCACGGTAGGATGGTGAGCTGCCGTGCTAACCTGCCCAGCAGCACGGAGGGGCTGGGTGCCCACCGAGCTCATCCTCTCCACTGTACCGCTCAGGAGGAGGCTCAGCACATCACTGAGATGAGTGTGGGGCTAATCAAAAGCCCCTTAAATTTTTAAAATTTAAAAATATTAACAAGAATTAAACTGTGTGCTGCAAATCACTGTGGAGGTAATTTTATTAAAAGCAGTAAAATGACAAAAATATAAGAATACTAAAAGCAATAGGGAACTTTGCCCTGCGGTAGGGTTACAAGGCATGCTAACTTCTTCCCCAGACAGCCCCATATCTTGCACCTCAGTGCTCTAAAAACACAGAAGCAACCCTGCACTCCAAGCCAGCCCCACGTCCCTCTGCAAACTGCAAAACCAGGGAAGCCTCATCTACAAATGGATGCTCCATCTGCTCAGATGGAGACATCCTCTCTCCACCCGCCCACCCACTCAGGACCATCACCTCAGTGTACAAGCAATTGCTGTACCCCCAGTATCTAGTGCAGATGTGTGGTCTGTTTGTGCTGGAGGGATTCAGAAATGCCAGAGATGATCAGAAAGATGGAGAAAGAATCCAACCACATCCCCAAGATGCTACAGGGGATCCATAAAAGAAAGAATTAAGAAGCACATATGCATAGGGGGACCAGGTGCCCCGGCAATTAGAAGCACTTAAGTTTCTTTGTTCATAAAATTGAGAAAGATGCAGCTCCTCTTTTGGTGAAGACAGGCAGTGTTGTTGTTGCCAAAGTTTTCTTTAGATGGATCAAGTCTCTATACAGCTTTGCGCTCCAGAGCTCAATGTGCTTAGGAAAAGTACCAGCTGGGCTTTGTCTCTCACAACTCGCATGGTGAGAACATCATCTCTTGGTTACACTGCTAATAATAATTGAGCTCGTCTGCCGACTGAGGAAATTCCTAGATATACCCCACCATTACAAGCTGTTAATGACCTCTTTTATTAAATATATAGCAGTTTTCTAAGCTTCTAAAAGATCTCACGGCCTCCTGCATATAAGGAAGAGTTGTCTTTTGGAGTCGCCTCAAGACGCTAAGAAAGGTCATTAAGCAGTAGGGACCAAGTTCTCAGCTGGTACAAAACAACGCGGTTTCACTGAGAGAATAATTTGTGCTTGTAAAGATCCTACTTCATTTATTTAACCTTCGCAATGCAGCTGGGCTGAGCTGCCACACACAGGAGTGGAATGATTTGCTCGGACTTACTGGGTCAGACTAAGAAATGAGCCCTGTAGTTCCCCACTCCTATTTCTGTGGCTTTACCTGCTGAATGCCCTTCGTCCCTACTGCTGAACGATGTTTGCACATCAGCACAATGAAACACCTAACTCTGGAAATGCTTCACTTTTTGTCACCTGAGCTTCAGAGTTTATTGGCTTTCGTTCAAAAACTTTGCCCTTGCTATCAATTAATCTTGCCTAATATAATTGCACAGAACTCAAAAAGTCTTTTCTGAGCTTTCTTTAAAGCCTTGATTCATTCCATAATTGTATTGTATCATCTCTTTAAAGAGCCTGGGAAATTGTCTAGAATAGCATTGACTTTCCCTTTTATGAATTGTTATGGTAAAAGTGTGAAAATTGCATGCTTTCTGTGAAAAGCTATATTTAAAGATTTTTTTGATGTCTTGATTTGTACCAAAACTCTCATATAGTTTAAAAAAAAAAATAATCAGTATTTTCCCCAGAAGCAGAAGGTTTTAATTTGTGGAAAGAATTCTTTGCAAACACAAACTCTCGAGGACCATAAAAGCTAGAAAAGCGAATCCTCCTCCTGCAAACCCTCTGTTTTCAGCTTTTTTTCTGGCGAGCTGCTTGCTGGGTTGTGCGTCTGTACCCCAGCACACTGTGCACATCAGTGCAGTAACACTTCATTTCCAGGTGACTTTGCACACTGCTGGAGCTGATCCCTCAAAGACCTCTCCAAAGCCAGTGGAAAGTTTCCCATCTGCTTCAAGAGGAGCTGGTCTGGGATCCCAGGACTACATATTCAAAGGTGTTCAGGAGCAGGAAGACTTGTATAGGTGTTTAATGGGATTTTTCACAGCATTGAAACTCCTAACGTCAGTGGCACTAAAGTGGCTATGGCTGTCAGTGAACACCTGTGGGAGCCTTCAGGTCCCTCTATACCTTTCCAGATCACTCTGGCCCTGGGAAGGAGGATTTAGACAGTGTACAGGTTTATTTTTGACCTGAAAGTCTCGGGCTTTATGTTGGCTCACCACGGAAAGGACAGCTTATGCGATACTGGATCTAAACTAATTCTGTATTCAGGGTTGTTTGGATGCACAAGCAGAATGGTCTGGCCTCATCTCTGCTATCACCAAGCAGGGGTCAGTCTCATTCTCCTCTCCATTGAAATGGATATGTTTGCATCAGCGTAAAGCCACCAGATCTGAGGTTTCTGCTCAGCACCGTGATGGATGGTGACGTGCAGCATGAGCACGCTGCAGAAGCACAAAGCTGTGCATGGAAAGGCTTGGCACTGGCTGCTCTCTAGTGTGAAAAAAACCACCACAAGCCCTGTGACTGTGTGTTAAATCCTCATGAAAAAAAAAGAAAGAAAATCCAATACTGTAATGTTTGCCACTGGCAGGAGAGAATGAAACACTAACCCACTTCCATGCTGCTGTCGCTCCTGTAATCAGTGCAGTCCTAAAAGCTGTTCAAGCACCAGGCTGGCAGCATCTGTAGGATGGGATTAGTCCTCAGGACCAAATTGTGTTTTGCCTCGTACAGAACAACAACCTTCCCTTCCAGCACCGCCTGAGCAGCAACACTCAGAGACCCGAATTGCTCCTCTCCGCCTGTGCTGTGCAGGACGGTGACGACGTGGATGCCATCTGAGTGAGCTCCCAGCAGCAATCTCTGCCTTGACCCTGTCCCCACGAAGGCACGCCTGAGAGATCTGATCCCTTGACGGATGCAAAGACATGGCAGAGACACCCGCTGTCACTCACCCTGTCCTCAGAGGTACAACACCATCACAGTCCCCAAGGCGGTGACACTGACCTCCCCAGCCCCATTTTGGTGGCCCTGGGGGTCCTGCCCTGCCCAGGCACCGAGCCTCCCTGGCTCTCTAATGATGATGCACTTTTCATCCCAGCCCTCTATCGCCAAAGGTGATTTTAATTCCAGCTGACACATGAAGCATTAAAATTATGCAGGGTTTTGCAGGACACAGAAGACAGAGCAAATCTGGGGATGGAACTTCATAAGTTCATGAGAAGAAAAATGGAAATTTATGGAAATTAAGCCAGACTCCTGAAGGGAAAAGATGTGGCTATCAGCCTCTCTTGGTCAGCTCAACAAAAATCAGACTTTGCCTGAGACTAGAGAATTCAGTATGATGTGAGTTTTCTTCTTCCTTCCAAACAAGAGCGTGGGAGAGACACGGAGGAAGGGACCAGAAAAGCGCAGTGACACCAAAGCAGAAGCCATTTCTTGGGCTGGTGTCACCGTTTAAGGCTGGGCCGGCTCTTAAAACGGGCAGCAGATGTTCTCTGTTAACGGGAGGGGAAAGGACAGAGAAAAGGGAGGGAGACTTAGGGATTGGAAATTAAAACTAGTTTAAAACAATAATAATGGAAATAAGAGGAAAAGTGCACCAAACG